AACAATTTCACTTCATTAGGATCAGAGACATCGTTGAATTTTCCCCTTTGCATTTTATATCTTTTTCCTTACACACTTAATGGTTTCAGCTCATTCAGCTTGGATGATCAGAAATTTGAAAATGAGCATATTTCGTCAAATGCGTCTGACCCCGAACAGGTCATTAGATAACATGGCTTTAAAGTTGTCTTCGGACTATTACAGTTAAAGTAGATTACTTTATTCAAGTTACTAACTTTTGCAACGCATGACTTGTGAAAGATTGCCCGGGCTGTGTATGATGTTGAGGAAGCAACATCAACTGCTTTTGAAATCATCTTAGAGCACAAGGTAGACCACCCTTTTTTCCCTCTCTTTGTTGTTTCTTGGGTCATTTGTACATTTAATTACAGATGTTTTACTATATCTCTGTATCTTCCAGATGATCAAATCAAAAACACGGGCTTCGCTAGTAAAATTTCTTCAACTTTTGGTCGCTCATCATCCCTCCAGGAGGTAAGAAAGATCAATCCTTTTTTCATTCCTCATTACACATTTCCCAGTATTTTATTTCATTGTTTCACGCTAGATACTTGTATTAGGTGCCGAAAGGGAAGTGCAGAGGTGCTTGTGAATTTTGATGACTTGTACCCACTAGATATCTTGGCAGCTGACAGGCAGGGAGACCAAGATGTACAGGCGGCCTTGCAGAAATTTCAGATTTGTGGTAAAGATGTTCCTCGTGGATATTGGGTAGGTATTCAAAAAGGCTGTATTTGGCAGGAAAAACAAAAAAAAAGGTTCTTAAATATATGAAATAGACAACTTATTTCCTATGCTTTCCTTCGGTATTCTTCACAGATGTTTTGCCGTGGCAGCAAAAATGATACCAGGGGCTTTAGGTAATGTTTGTTTCCAATGTTACCAAATATATGTTTCTGTTAAGTAGTTTTCTCTGTGATGCGTTTACATATGCTTCTAGATATATTGGATTTTTTTTAATGTTGATAGTTGACAAGGAGCACCATCCTTGCTCCAAGTTCAATCATATGGTCACTTGTGCATCTGGTTTCTTGGGGACATACTGTTCGGTGGTGAGACCATGAATACGATCCAGTAAAATGCATGTGAACTTGTTGTCCAGAGACCATTCTGTTTTGTGTATACCATGAAGGAATGACAAAAAAAACATCAAATGTTATAGTTCTGTAAAGGGTATTAGCAATAATATCTGTTAAGACTGTTATTTGATGGGTCTCAAGTGGATTGTGCTTTCAGAAACACTGATCACAACAAGCTTAGATTGCGCTATTAGAGATCTCTGCATCTAGGAGACACCTCGTCTAGCACTATATGTTTGTTATGTTAGTGTCGTTCCAAATAACATGTGGATTATAAATGCAATTATTCAGAATTCCAGCAGTGACATGCATTTAACGAGATTTCCTTTTACCCTCTTTATCTTTGACAGCTGTGGGTTATGGGTTCTTCTGCATTCACTTTCAGTGAGAATTGAGGATGGAGAAAGCAACTTTGCGTTCACCACTATATGTGATTTTGTGCACAATTTCTTCGTTTGTGAGGAATGTCGCGAGCATTTTTATGATATGTGTTCAAGGTGAAGTCAACTGGAACTAATCCATTTTTAACAATTTTAATGCTGTTTTATCTATAACTCGATGACTTTCCTTTCAGTGTTTCTAGTCCCTTCAACAAATCCCGTGACTTTGTGCTTTGGCTGTGGAGTGCTCACAATAAAGTCAATGAGAGATTAATTAAAGAGGAATCCTCTTTAGGAACTGCTGATCCGAAATTCCCAAAGATGATTTGGCCTCCAAGGCAGCTTTGTCCTTCTTGTTACCTTTCATTGAGCCAGAAAAACAACGAAATTGATTGGCACAAGGATGAGGTGTTCAAAATTTTGGCCAGTTATTACGGGAAAACCCTTGTTTCTCTTTACAAAGATAAGGGTATTGTTGGGAATGATGAGACTAGTGGCACTCTTGAAGACTTGGTGGCCTCAACAAATGCGCTTGTGGTGCCTCTGGGGGCTGCGTTGGCTATTGCTGTTGCTAGTTGTGCATTCGGAGCACTCGCTTGCTACTGGCGTTCACAGCAGAAGAGTCGGAAGTATTTCCACCACTCTTTAAAGAACATTTGATTATTAGGAGGGTGATGAACTCTCTCATAAAAAGAGGAGGAGAGAGTGAGAGATTGTTAGGAGGTTTTAAAAGTTTCTTATTCATTTTTCTTCCACCGAATTTCAGGCCAAGGAGAAGCTGGAGCTAATTTTGTTGCACCAGAGGGTGGAAAATCAGTCTCTCTAGGAAACACGATACAATCTTGTTCGAGATTGGCCTGCTTGAGGTCCTCTTCTGTACCCTATTTGAGCTTTTCATTTTCCACACATAATGATGGCTGTACAGATTCATCCCGTCTTAATTTTGGAAGAGATGGTTCTAGATCAATGTGGCTGTGTTTCTATCTGTTTTCGGCATGGATCTAGACAAAGATTGGGAAAACGATCGTCTTGATAGACTCGTGTTATTGCTCTTTAATTCTGTTATATCCAATATACGCAAGAATTTCTTCATGATTAAGAGTGAAATTGTATGAATGCTGTTTCGTCGATGATTTGTTGCAAAACTTCTGGGTTTGAACATCGGAATGACGAAAGATTGCTTGGTGCGATGCCAAATTCAGGATGTACCCGAGTCACTTGTAGAAAGGAGAATGAACCCGACTTTGCAAATGGACCCATCCCCTCCCTCCATGTCAAGCAGATGAAGTTCTTCCCCATTTCAATGGGTTTCTCTTCATTGTTCAAACCACAATCAATTCATCAATCAATTACCCTTGAAAGAACAGAAATCGTTGCACTGCACGTGGGATTACCAATTTCTTCGTGCCATAACGTATCCACTAAGTAATATGCTGATTAATAATACCACATGACGATGAGTGATTCTGAAATTTAAAATTTTCTCATGGATTACGAGTAAATGCACTTTACCAAATTAAGATTCTTTAAGAGTATATTGACATGTTAAAAACACTTTGAACAAAAATGTTAAAATTTGCCACCTTGTTGCTCTATTAGAGAAGAATGACTTCTATTAAATAAAAAACATCGTGGTGGATTAGAAGATAAAATTTGTCAAGAATCAACATTGGATCTCAAGTAATATAGAGCCCAATCATGGGCTCATTTTGGTTTCATGCAAAATTGAGTCCACTCACGAGCTCGGTTTAGTTTCACGTAATATGTTATTCGATAAGATCCAAATTTCAGGACCTTAATCAACCTGCTAGACTGCTAGTAGCTCAAGGTAGCTATGGAGGAAGGAAGAAGAGAGAAGACGAAGCTGAGCTCCAGTATTTTTGTAATATTATTTTAAATGTAAATGACCGTTACAAGCTTCACACTCAAAGTGTATTCATATACGGATTTGGATTCCATCTGGATCTAAATTGCGGGGATCATATTGGATTCCATCTGGATCTAAATTGGGATCCTCACATCTTAGTCATTCATCGTGCAGTCAAAAATCATTTGATTTTTTTATTTAAAAAACACAAATAACACTTGACGAAAATTGGTAGTACAATATACGATGAAAGGTTAAGATATGGGTATCCCTAAGACCTCTATAAAGTGGATCCGGAGAGGATCCCCTTCCTACATATACAACCCACCCACACAACATTTGCCAGCTGGCAACTCAAACAACTAACTAAAAAAACAATTAATAAACTCATTACATCTAATTAATCCTTAATTGTGATTAAGCTAATCACAGATCATATCATCATTACGGCTAAGGATGCAACATAGCTTCTGAGTCTCTCCTTCCTTTGGCTTTTGAGAAAGCAGACAATATATTTTGTGAGATTTTGGAATCTCCGTGAGATTGATTTAACAGCGTCTCTCTCTCCCCTCAACCAGGTACTCCTCCTCTTTCTCTCTCTAATTTGTTGATGCTCTTTGGTATTAGGGTTTTTTCCCATGCAGAATTCAGACGGTTCCTTCATATTTTTAGAGTTTTTGTACTTTGATTTGGGAGGCATTCGTTACGAAGATATTTCCTGAGTTTGTATCTTGACATGTTCTCTTTCATTCCATACAGATGGCCTCTCCTGCTGCAGATACCAAATCTTCCATTAGGTCAGTGAAGTACAGATATACCCACCAGCTTTACGACGTGGTTTTTGGCAGCACCACCATCAAAACCTTGGTCACCAGAACACCCGAAGTCGTGGATTCTTGGGTAGGATGCATGCGAAGCCGTGACGACAAAATCAACATCATAGGACTCGATATAGAATGGCGTTCCAAATCGTTGACAGGAGATCATACTCGCCCTTCCACTTTGCAATTCTGCACGGTCCAACGCTCTCCTGGAACAAAATATTTTGCCCTCGAGGAGGGTGGTGGGAATGATTATAAATGTCTTGTCTTTCAGTTTAAGGATTGTGACGAGGTTCCCCAGTCGATCATTAACTATCTTGCCAACAAGAGTTGTGTTTTTGTAAGCGAGAGAATGATGCACATTAAAGAGAAACTGAACGAGCATTATAAATTGGACATCGCATATCCGATCGACATTAGCCAATTCATCGAGGTTAGGAAGCCTGAGAAGCCTACTAGTGTGAGAAACAGTGACTGGGACAAAACGTACCTTGATCCTACTCAGGTTCGCTACGCTTGCTTGGATGCTTTTGTTTCATACAAGGAAGCTTCGCATTTTATAAATACAAATCAGGGCCCCAGGAAAGTGAACCGTAGACTCTCTTTGGATGGAATGACGCAATATCTCTTCGGGGAAACAGATCCAGAGATTACGATGGAAGAGGAAAAGAAAGAAGAAGAGGAAGTGGAAGAGGAAGACTTTGATGTGATTGTTTACGACGAAGTGGTAGACGAAGACTATGATGTGGTAGGGGAAGATGAAGAATTTGACATGATTTCTCACAGAGATGTGTATGAATTGGAATATCCACCTCCAAAGTAAATACCGAGATTGAATGTAAAAAGATGATATACTATTCAGTTTCTTTTGAATGTTGGTAGTATTTACATTCCAACTTACATATGATTTGTCAGCTTTGGTTGCTTGACTAGTATTTTCTCAGTATAATTTCTGTTTATATACAGTAGTATTGATTTGTCAGCCTTGCAGGCGGATTTCGATCCATTCTTTTTCGGCCTTGATTGATGCCTCTTGCTGAAACTTTCTTTCTCCTTATGATCACAAAGCCAATACCAGATTCTTATTTTCGAATTTATCACTTCGATTTGCTGGTGTTGGACTGAATTTAGCGAACACGAATGAAATGGGGCTGGGGCTCCGGCTCAAGCTGCAGGATAGTTGGCTCTGTTTCTTCATCTGAGGAGGTTGCTGATGAACTCGAAAGATCCTGATCGAATTTCACCAGCCATATCAACATATGAACTAGTTAGTGCATTGTTAACATACTAATTGGTTAGCGTTAACATGCATGCACAAATACTAGGAAGAGAATGCAAATACGTACTTGGTGGCTTCGCCGACGCTGAAGAGCAGTTACTGCCATCAACGTTGCATAGATTGGCAAGACAATCCCAACAGTTCGTAATAGTAACAACTGCACAAACACGAGTGAGAAATTAATCGAAGGTCAGATGTGTAGATGCTGTACCTTTCACCTTATTGATCTTGAAATTAATGACGCAGGGTTGAAGCTAGTTCATAGATGTTTTTACCATAACAAGTGGGAGAGAGTACTCTTTGTTTCCGCTGATGATGAGAGGAAGCGTATGCCGGAGAATAAGCAGAACCATGAACTGCTTGCACACCATGAAAAAACACCAGAACATGTTCAGATATGATCACCAGGATAAGAAAATGCAGAATTCATCAGCTTAATTATTATTTGCTCGAGGAAGAGAGATTACAATGAAAGCGAGCCAACGACAGCAGCACACATTTCTTGCAGTAGAAGCTGAGTAATCATCATAGCCAGGGTTAAGATAATCACGATCAGTTGCAACCATTGCTATGATTCGCGGACTGTCCCTTCTCGAAATCTCCCAGTTTCCCCTGTTATTAAAACAAAAATCGATTCAGAAAGAGACGTACTTGCAAAAAGCCTCATCGCTTGGAGATTATAATTTACCTGAAGTTCATAGGTATACGCCCCAATTGAAACAGCGGAGGAGGAGCTGTGTAACCAGGCTTGAATTGCTGATGGCATATCTCACAAACTGTGTCACCTTTTTCATTACACCACCTCTGTACACATCTTCTGTGGGCGTACTGCAAGATTAGGACACCAGTGAAATTCATTTTCGACCACGGAAACACACACGAAATTCAAACGTGGGACGAGGAATGAACGATACATCTTTAACTTTTGAGTTGTTCTGGTTAGAATTCATTAATCCTCGAAAGGACGACAAGGATGTCACACAACAAAATTGAAGTTTTAAGAATTAGGGGATTGGCAATGAGATTATCTGACCCTTAAGCTGCCACAACAAGAGCACGGTGTCTCCATGTTTGAATCCTGATCTTCATCCTGGCATATCCTGCATTCTGCTAGCTTCCCACGAGGGGAAGAGACATCTTTAAAATCGATTTTCTGACAAGGGACATCGATTTTCCTATCTTCGAGCGCTGAGGATGCGGCTTGCATCGATCTGTTTCTGCTCTCGATCGCAGCTTCTAGCGTGGTTTCAGTGATCAATCGATCCACCAACAATACAAAGTGCTCCCCCATCCTTAAAATCTCCACAACAAACAGAGGAATTCACAATGTTTCAAGGAAACCCCCTAGAGAATATACAAATCCATTTTGGTTACTACATGACAATTGAGCTATATTGAAAAATATAGAATACATAATTCACTACAACAAGAAGCAGAATTCAACGAAAGAACGTGCACGGATTTAAATTCTTTGAACATATTTGGAAGGCACTCTATCTAACAATTGTATCGCGGCTATCAGTACGTATGACATATGGATACAGGTAAAACAGTGAAGCTCGAAACGACACGAACCAGCTAAAAATTGAACCAAAACAGAGGTGCCCCTTTAAAAGCAACAAAATTAAGTGAAAGTAGAGAAATCTCAATGATTAACAAAAAGAAAGAAAAGAAAAGGAAGAAGAAAGTACCCAGAAAAGAGAACAAAGTGAGAGCCAGAAAGTTGATACCTTTATGAAAACCAAGGCCTCAAAGGCATCAAGAAAACAGGGAAGGAAGAATCTGAGACTTACACGAAGAAGTTAGGGTATCCTGGAAGCCAAGAGATTGAGTGACTTGTTTGTGGGAGTTCAATTCACAAGACACAAATAGTATTGCATCTTAATCCAAGACTAATTAACATGTGTGTTCTAAGTTAGTGGCGTTAATACAACTCTCTCTCTCTCTCTCTCCCTCTCTCTCTCTCTAATTGTGCAAGATGTTCATGTTGATGTGTTGTATTTATATATGGATTAAGAGTAAGCTTAGAGAGAGAGAGAGGAGAGAGAGAGATTCTAACGGGAAGGCCAAGCTTCTGCGACTTCCACGATTCCATTACTTTAACCGTTATTGCCGTTTTAGGTTTTCATCAACTTAACTTTCAAGGTAATTTTCATTTGTGTACACCATTTTTTCATCTGCATACGTCTAATAACTATGAAGTTTGTATTGAGTAAATCAAATGAAAGCCGAAGAACATAACTAAACATGAATATGTGGAAGAAAGAAAAGTTAGGTCGAAATTGCTTAACTAAGGTTTTTTTGTCCAAAGGCATATGTTGGAGATCAGTTGGTCAATTCAATGTGTTGTTTTTGCAATAATTTTGAACATTCCCGTAAATTTGACTAATTCAGATCATATTGATAAAACGTAAATTTGTCGCAATATTTAGTCTAAGATGAATATATACAATTCAATTATTTGATTACAATACTTGCATGTATTTTAACTCATGATTATTTATGATTGCATTGAATATGCATGTTCACATAAATACATTTGACGGTGAAATGATAATTACAGTAAATATATTTAGGTATGTTATATCCAATCTCGCCATTCAAATCTTAAAGTAAAATGAGTGGGGAGGAGATCATGTAGGCAACCAAAGTCAAAGATTATTTTTAGGTAAGCTTGACGTTGATCTCCGAGTTAGAAGACATTTTGACTTATGAAAGCAACATTGGCTCTATATGTTTGACACGTGTTTGGTCGACCCCTATGGGAGGAGCACTGGTGAGTTCCCGAAATTGTCGTGTTTGGTTGACAATGATCAAATTAACTCCTTATCTCTTTGATTAATCATAATTTGGTTGGTAACAGTCCCACAGATTAGATATTAGAAGTTCGGGAGTTCTATCCTCAACATATATGGATCCCAAGAATCTCCTAATTCAACTTAACAATTACATCATAATATGAAGATGCATAATAAATTTTTATTAATAAAAGGAATTAATGATCTTGAAAAGAGTTGGTGAAGCTCAGAGGTGTGCAAGTTACAAGTTAGTGTATAAACTTCTTACATTGGTTTTGATGTTACCGATCGCAAGGGCTTCGGTGAAGAGGGCTTTTTTTGCTATTAAGATTGTGAAAATACCATTGTGTAACAAAATAAGAGATCAATAGTTTACTGATATTATGGTTGTTTACATTGAGAGATGTATTTATTTTTATTGATAATGAGCTTATTATGTGACATTTTCATGATATGAAACTTCATCGGCAACAATTGTAACTTGTTTGTAGTGAATAGTGATTAAACTATGGACATTACTATAAAAGAATTTGATTGTTGTCATATTTTCTAATCTTACACTCTTTTAAATTTGTCTATCCCTGAATAATTTCTGACTTCCCTAGTTATTAGGACCATATATTTCCTTTTTCCGTGCATGGAGGTGGCCAGGAGAAACCTAAACATGCAAACCTCAAACTTAAAGTGATTAGTTATAGATGTTCATGCATAATTAGATGCTTTATCACGACTTATTAATATTTTAATTAATTATTGACCATTAACATTAGGGTTTTGTCCATAAGCTGGAGGAGGGCCAGCCACATTCGAGTCCTGAACTGTCGCATCACCAAAACCAATTTTCATCTCCTTTTTCGTGACCTAAACCATATTTAAATTAAAACATTAGACTAATAATTTGGTATTATCTTTTTCTAGGTATACTATAAGAAGGTACGGTGTGGTTGATCAACAAACATTTATTGGATTTTGCAGGACGTCGACTGAAAGAGCATCAAATATTATTAGGAAATTTTAATGGAATACTTCCGGTACTATTTACTTTTAACAAAAAATCACATTTTTACATTTTCTTGATACTATTCACTACACTGTTATTTGTCATTTTTCATTAAAACTAATTTTTTTTTTTTTTTTTAAACTTTTCGTTAATTTTCCTATCCTCATTATTATTTGACTTGTCGAAGCAATTAGTTTCTAATTTATTTGCATAAATAAATTAAATAATTAAAGTACGTGGACTAATTAAGACGCATACGTTTAATTGGTGCATGTTGCATGATGGAGATGGAATGGAGAGTTGAGTAGGTGGGCTGACGATTGACTTTCTCATGCCATGCATCAGACTTCCTTCAATTATTAAATGGCGGTCATTGAATCCTTATTGGTTTGATGATTAAACACTCTCATAAGAGCATGTCCAGCTCATGTTCGAAAGTCGGGCAAATAGCCGATTATTACCCGAAACTCAAGAAAAATGCTCCAGCCCATGACCCAAAGACAGGGAATTAAGTGGGCCCAAGCCTGCCGGACAAACCAAGGCCATCAGGCAATTCGTGCCCACCCTATTGTCTGAGTTTTATCTAATGTCATGATGACGTCAGACACGTTCTTATTTTCATTTGTTACACAAGCGTGGGTGGCGCATCAAGAGACAAAAAAGCAATGTCGAGACGATGGTGCATGTTGTGGAACACCTAGCAGAAGCTGGTCATTGGATTTCCAATTGTCATATAATCCAACGATCCGTATTAATTTGGTTTTCTTTTAAGGTTAAAATTTTCTTTACAGTAGGTTCAACCGCATGCTACAGATGAACGACATACGGATTAGAGCTGTAATATAAACAGGAACGCCTCCTCAAAATAACAGGGATGCTGGCTAGGACTGGTTCAATTGGTGTTCTAGCTGGGCCTTTGTAAGTGTAAGCTATTTAAGTAGGCTCGAGAAGGGCGTAGCTTCGCTCAGCAAAATGGCCTTACTATTATATTAGTAAAGCGCTAGCATCCAACCTATGGGCTTTGAGGGGATATGGGAAGGGAAGAAAACACAAAGATGGTTACTCATTTTAGGAACATGGCTTGTTCATTCACTTGCTCATGAACTCACAGCTTCGCTAGAAGCGACAACGTCAAAAGTGGAAATTCATTTTGATCAACTAGGTTTATTTCCTGGTTGCCTTACTCATTTAGGGCTCAGTCTGACTTTTGCATGGTGAAATTGCGTAGAGTCATATGCGAATCTCCAACTAGTTCGAATTCAAACATGACCACTAGATTGGACTAGAGACTTCCTCTTGCTGAGGCTTTCAAACTAGGCGGGTCTGGTTAAAGGAGGCAAAGCTTAAGGCTTAAGCTGCATGAATAAGGAACAAATCCTCCAGCCAATAAGAGAGTCTTTTTCGAGGGTTGTGAGACCCCCTCGACCTTGCCAAAAGAAAACATTTTCTCGAGACAGAGATATGACCTCGCTACCAGAGTTTTAACTCCAGTTTAGTTTGGACGAAACTTATGAAGCAACTTAAATCGTTTCAAGGGTGCGGTTTGGAACCCAGTAACTTTACATCTAGCGAGAGTCGCATATGAACAGCATCCATAGTTGTATACAGTAAAAAAGTTATTCTTCGAAGTTGTGCTAATGGTTGGTGGTAGTGGTGTATGGTAAGAGGACTAACAATAAGAGGAGAGCGCAACGACGAAAGCACGGTCACCGGTGGCCCTCATCCTTCTCGACACTATCGAACCACATCCGTCAGCTTTTCTATCTCCACAGCGCTGACCTGCGCTTTCCCACCTACTTCACCGAACTCACTAGACCGAGTCGGAGACTTAGCCTGATATTGCCAACCACTTCAACCCGGAAGAGATGCTTCACTGCGAAAGGGGTATTACAGTAATTAAGTTGAACACAAACCGCCAAACAACTCGTCGTAACGAACACCAGATCATCAACAAACCCGCTCACGCCACGCGTCCACTTTTTACCGCCAAATTCAAGAACCAACCGTCTCTAAATTTACATCGAATGCCACTTTCACCCTCACTCGCACTCTGCAACTGCAGTCCAACGAAATCCCACTCCAAGAAACCAAACTTCCTCCTTTTGATTCTTGAAGCTCCTCCACACAACCACCCATCAATGGCCGAGCTACTTCTCGTTTCCATCATCCTCCTCTCACTCCTCTCTTTCTCATCCGCCCTCCCCTCCCAGGCCGTCCAAGATGCCGCCGAAATCCTCTCTGATTCCGGCTACGTCTCCATGGCGATGACTCTTGAGCTCGTCTCCGAGTCCCTCATCCCTCAGTCCCCCTCGCTTACCATCTTCGCTCCGCCGGACTCCGCCTTCACTAAATCAGGTCAACCTGCCCTCTCTCTGCTCCAGTACCACTTCTGCCCTCTTCCCCTGCCCCTCCAAACCCTCAAATCCCTCCCCCCCGGCACCAAGATCCCGACTTTACTCTCCGGCCACTCTCTCTCCGTCACCACGCCCCCCTCCGGCGTTCCAATTTCGCTCAACAACGTCAAGATCACTTCCGGGTCTCCTATCTACGACGACGGGTTCCTCATCATTTTCGGAATCGAGAACTTCTTCGACCTCAATTTTCATCTCCCGACACCGACTCGGATCCCCATTCCAGATCCGGTTTGTGGGTCTTCATCCACAGCGCCCTCCGTCAACGGCACAGCCACAGCTGGGTTTCCCGGAGCTTCCTGGTTCGAAGAAGCGAGTGAGATGCTGACGTCCCATGGCTACAATGTCATGGCGTCGTTCCTCGATCTGCAACTTCTTGGCTTCAAGAACCCGAATCCGATGACCGTGTTCGCTCCTCTCGACCAAGCGATGGACAACCCACTGCAAGAATCCTCGATCTTTCTCCGACACGTCGTTCCATGCCGGCTGATGTGGAGCGATTTGGCGGGTTTCAATGACGGCGTTGTGCTTCCAACGTATAAGCAGGGTTTCACCATCACAATCTCGAGGAACGGCGACGTTTTGCTGCTGAATGGAGTTCCGGTCTTCTTCGCCAACATGTATTACGGCGACACCTTCGTCGTTCACGGCCTCCGCGAGACTCTTGCGATGCCGGAGACGCCGGAAGATGCCGATGAGTCTTCGCGGGGAAGTGGAAGAACCGACGATGAGGTGCCTTTTGATAATACTGAATTTTGAGAGTCTGCTAAATGTTGTCAAATTCTTGCAAACAAGTTCAATTTTTTACTGAAGAATTTTTCGGGTCGTTAGCTTTTTCTTGTAATTAGATGGAAAGTTGGTGACTTTTCTTGTAATTTTCACTGGTTCTTTTGTACCTGATGCCATTCAAAGGGGTCAAACCTAGCAAATGTAAAGATATCAGTTCAGTGAAAATTTCTAAAGTCTCCAGATTTTTATATGATTTATTTTGTGAGCAAATTTGAGGAAGTTCAGCAGATTAGTAAAATGCTCATGCCTCGTTTTGATAATTTCGATCGAAAGTGTGATATTTTCGTTCAGTCATTCGATGAATGATCTTTTCCAAAACCGAGTTCTGCATTACCTCCGATTTTGTCGACGGTTTTACTGTAACTGTAAATTTTCAAAACTGAGATGATGAAGGCATACTCGGAGCAAAAGGCAAGACAGCGATGATCAACAATATCTAAATTGCTTTTACCATACACAAGAAACCAGATACAGGACTAGAATTGCTATGAGCTCCCGGGCCCCCCACAACTCGCAGTGGAACTTCGCTCCACTCGGTTTTTCTTTTTGATATTTCACTCGGAAAAATAATGACGATAACAAACCCTAATTCTACAACCGATTTCTACTCTTTGAGACAATACATTGCTGCTGCTATTATTGCTGCTAGACTTCATTTGATGTGTCTGATGACAATACGTTGCTGCTGCTATTATTGGTATTATTGCTGGAACTGCTCCTTTGGCTCCTGCCTTTTATTGGTAAGGATAGTTTCACAAACTCTTCCTCCGTTCTGGGGCGGTTCGCATAAAGTATCCAGAGAACAAGGCACAGCAAGACTCCAACTGAAATCAGGGCCAATCCTGCATTCACAATTTTCAGGTAATGGTCCAGTGGAGGACAGTAACTTGATGTGATTGTTCGAAATGTGTCTCGAACAAAATTACAATCCTGGAGGTTCAGTAATGGTGGGGTGTAGTGCTGAAGCGCATAGCACTCGTTAACAGCTGCAACAAGCTGATTGTAGATGTCCGGGTTCACCCTTCCCACAGTTGTGCACATACCGGATGTTGAGACTTCACATATATACTTCTGCCAAACCTGAAGAATTCACACAACCAAATAAATGGGACTAAGCAAACCATCGTCAATTGTTTCTCTAATCTATTAATTCCACAAATCAAGCAGCTTCCAGTAGAATATACAAAGACACCAAATTAATAGTCAAAGTCGACAATTCTTACCAAAGAAGCATTTGAAATAGACACCTCTTGATCCCCACACCGTCGGTCTCTCAGCTGAGAGTCGTACGGGTAACAGAGAGGTGGCATCAGAGGCCCCGACTGATTGTAATAGTACGGGTATGGACTCGCAGGGGAAGGATACGTATTGGCATAGGTATAGATGAACTGGTTGACAACATTTACAATGTCAATGATAGTCTGCTTACTCTGACTAAGGGTCTTGTTCGTGGTTCTCTGGTCAACACATGGAAGGATGTTGCTAAGTGCTGTTTCGGTGTGAGGATGTTCTACCCATTCTTCCATGGCTACACAGGTGTCGGAAACAGCACTGAAACACAATCGCCATAGAAATGTGTTGAGTTACGGATTCACTAGACAAGCAAATAAATACCTAAACAGAAACATTTCCATCAAAGATTACATATTCTTACTTGTTGAGGATCACAAAAACTCCGGAAAGAATGAATGTAATTGCCACAAGTAGCCATCCACTAACAATAAATCTGCAACAACATCACGGCTTTGTCAGACAGAAACATGAAAACACTCCAGAATGTGAAGAGTTGTAGAATTAGTACAAGCGCAGCAAAACGGCCAAGTAAAAGGGCAACTTACATGTGGATCGCATGTTGGTGCCTAAGGAGGGACAGAACTGCACAAGATACATCAATCAGTTGAAATTGAAAGTAGGCAAAAATATCAATAAACAAGAGGAACAAATAATAGATTTCATTCATCAGGTTGTTTAGGTTGTTACGTACAAAGACCAATCACAGCTAAGAGAAGCATCACTGCTGCTACGGTGATTAAAGATGAACGACTGCAGCAATCAACTCAAAATTAGTCCATTAAGAACATGGGGAGTCAGTATAACCCGTTAATTAAATTGTAGAACCGAAGTTTATGGACACATACACAATATTGAAGACTCTTTTTACTTTAACAGAATTTTCACTTGTCTTCTCCGTTAGTGTGTCCGCTGCAGTGTTCAGATCCACATTCAGCTTGTCAATATCATCCATGACATCAGAAGGTAAGAAAACCTGGGCCACGTTAATAGCCTTCGCAAGGGTCAGATACCCTGTGACATTTCTCAGGGTCTGCACAGTGTAGTCTGACTGGTTAACAACATAATTTAGAGTATGCATCACTTCGTCATGAAATTCATCTTGCCCAACAGAAAGAAGAATACATCCAGTCCTGTGTGATACAGTTTATCGTGTTAGAGCTGGGGCACAAGAGACATAGACGGCCAATACTATCAGGTGCTGCCTAACCATAGTATGAAAACTTTCTACACTACATAAAAATGCTCATTATACAATCTTAAGCCAAAAATACGAAGTTCAGATCATTACGCTGAAGCACATGTGAAGATCAGTAGCATAATCAAGCATATCCTCTGCAAGCGGTGTGATCCTTCAGCTTTAATGTTTATCTTCCAGCCACAGCAATGATGAACCACCAGTATCATGCCAAAAGCAACAAACCACAGGACGGCAATAATGAAACCAACAGCACCCGTAAATCCAACAGACTGCAGAAACATAGCGATCACATTACTACGGAAATGATGGTAAACTTATATGCACAAGTAACAATATAATCCTTCAAAATTACTATTCACAAAGGTGTGGTTTATCCTTGTAAGTAACCACAACTTAAAACAACGGAACGAGAAGGGACATCAAAAGATGGATCTCACTATGTCATTATCAATTAAAACCTTCACATTGTAACAAGCATCACTTTTTTCGGGATTATTTCACACCACCCTCAAGCGGTGAAATGCTCACCCCTCCCATTTGTAACCGTTAGATGAGTTTAATTTCGAGATCTGTGCAGTGTATAAACACAAATCTCAAAATTCATCCAACGATGATAAATAAAGTGGCAAACATTACCATCACTTGAGGGCAGTAACTAAATTTATCCTTTTTTTTCTTCCCTAAAATAGCAAATTAATAAGGCAAAAGAAAGAACACAAAATTCGTGACACAACAACCAAATTCTGCATCTTTAAACCAATACTGGAGGTCCACCAAAACAATGCAACAAGGAATCAAGACTTACAGCCCAGTAATGCCGATCCACAATGTCCCAACCTCCCCGATAATGCTTAAACCTTCTGAGAATATCCGGCCTGTTGGTCCTTTTCGCCGCCAAAACAAGCGTACCTTGCGGTGCATCGCTTGAAGGCCCTGGAGATTGAGCAGTCTCCGAGATCCCATTTTTCCACGACCCCAGATTTTCATCCACTGCAAATACAACAGGCCAAAAAAATTACAAAGTTAGAAAGTTGCAAGATTTTCAGCAGCTGAGATTCAACCATTCAGACTTTAAAAAATCTCAAAATTTTTTATTCAATCGATATTCTAATCTAATCTACACAATAGTCAGAGGGGGAATTCGAGCTTGGGTCTGAAAAATAAAAGCACTCAGAACTTTAGCAAACAGAAAAACCAAAGGAAAAAAAGCATTTGAGTTCAAGCTACTCCAAGGCCATTGGTTTATCAAAGAAAAAGCATCTGCCTTGTTTGCTTGCTGATCAAAAGTTAAATGAATTGCGGCAGAGGCAGAAGGTTATGTATTTTCACATTTGTCTCGAAACCAAAAACAACAATGGCTCCAGAAAATCCAACTTTCCATTTCCTCTACGACTAAATCCTCCACCGCAACCGGAAAAGCACACGAGATCCGACCCGTTTCAAAAACCGAATCCAGAAACGTACCTAGACTAAACTTGAGAAGGTCTCTGTGGGGTCCGAGTCCATTCGGAGTCAGACCCGACACGCAGCTAGTACAACCCAGAAAGAATAAGAAGAAGAAGAAGGAGAAGGGGGGAGAGGCGGTGGAGGAAACCGGCAAGCGCTCCATTGGCAGAGTCTTTTGACACTCTCTGTTCACCAAAAAATCTCAGACAGAAATCCGGATATGAATCGAACCCATTTCCAAGATTTGGTTTTGGAAGAAAACCCAAATCTTGAAAAAGTGTAATTAACTAACAGTGTGTCAGCGTTGTAATATGATTACATTTCTTGGTGGCGAGGGAGATTTATAAGAACCAAAGCCACATGGGGAGGTGGGGCAAGTGAAAGCCGATGATTAGAGAAGAGAAAAAACCGATAAAGGCGGGTGTGACTGCATTAAGCAAGCAAACCCAACAGTCATGAACCCGTACCTCTTTGCTTTCCTACTTATTTATTAATTTATTTATGCCCTTTTTCTAATTTTGTCCTTTCTGCTTCTTTTATTACTTTTTTTTTCTTTATTTTATTCTGTTTACTTTTATGGCATGTATTTGAAACACTAACATTAAGTCAGCATAGTAATTTATGAGTAGTCTTCTTTTTTTTTTTTTTTTTTTTTTTTTTTTTTTTTTTTTTTTTTTTTTTTTTTTTTTTTTTTTTTAAATCGAAAAGACTCACAAAAACATTTCAGTTTCTCCTAATAGCTATAATATTGTTTGCTTCAAAAATATATATATAATAGTAACTATAGTACGGTTTGCTTCAAAATAATAATAATAATAATAACTATAGTACGGTTTGCTTCAAAAAAAACAAAATAATAATAATAACTATAGTACGGTTTACTAGTATCAGAAATCGAACCTCAAATGTATCGTGTGAAATACAAATCTAAAATTTGTTCCAACTACTAGGCAATTTTGTGGTGGTTAGAGGGTGATTGTTTTATTGAAATTATAACATTTTTGTTTGTTATTTAGTAAACCAATACATGGAAAACGTATTGGAAGGTCCTTTAAAAATTGCCCAGATGCCTAGTCCAGGTGTCCAGTACAGGAACCAAGAGAACTTATCAAATGTTATGAAATATCTGCTCAACAGATTTCAACAATACTAGGAAACACGCGTTTAAGTTTTTCTTGGTATTTGTTGATAGGCTTGCTCAACATTTGTCAACATGCCTTCTCATAAGTTATGAGCATGACTTTTTTTTTTTTTTTTTTTTTTTTTTTTTTTTGTATATATTTGTTAGATTAGAAATTCGACGAGGTTTGAATTCAAGTCGTAGTGTAAGGACAAAATTGCTCTCTACCACTATAGTAAAATTTCACTTGCGTTATAAGCATAAATTAACAAGTGAGCAATTTTGTTATGTGACTACATGCCTGCCAAGTATTTGATGAAGATCACTTAAAAAATTGAAAGAAAAAATTAGACGGCGTTCTTATACAAGTTCTTGTCTTACATTTGTAGGGGCTGCTCAGAAATATTTTCATTTTTATTTAAACAAAGTTGCCATTGTAACGAAATAAATGCGTACATTCTTTTCCAGGTTCTTCCGTTCATGTGGGGGTACTGATATAAAAGGCAATCCCTAATTAATTAGTTATAATAATAAGTACTTTTGAATATAATAATAATAATAATATAATATTATCGAAAAGAAATTTTTTAATGTTTTGAGTTACGGATAAATCAAATGTCATAATACAATTAGTTAATTTTTTTTTTTAATTTTTAATTAATTGTATTATTACCGAAATTGTGTGTCCATACACTGAAAAGTCTCTCGCCACCAAGCATGAGGAAAGTGGAACTCTCTCATTCAATCGGAGGATGAGAACAAAACGGAAGTATCGTTGGAGTGACAGAACCAGCAAATTTTGACAACGAGGTATTTTTTTATTCGCTTCCTGAATTTGTATGCAGCTGTCAATTTTCTTCATAAACTTTAATTTTAGCCGATTATCCTCTTAAATTTTTTAAATTAGCTAATTTTCCCCTTCAGCTTTTATTTTAGCCGATTACCCCTTTAAACTTTTATAAATAGCCAATTCCTCTTTTGGCATTAGATTTTAAAAACTTTTATTCAATTTTTCATCATTTTTGCCCTCATACAGTTGTCATGTGTTATTTCCTTGATCAAGATGGATGAAAATTTGGATGTAAACTTTTAAAATCTAACGCAGGGGGAAATTGACTATTTATAAAAGTTCAAAGGGAAAATTAACTAATTATAAAAGTTCAAGGGAGTAATTGGCGAAAATTAAATTTCAGAAAGAAAATTGACAATTTTATACAAATTAAGGGAACAAATCGATAAATATGCCTTTGACAATTCACAATGTTGCTTTCCATGCTTATCCCTTCATTATCATTTGCTAACCTATTTTTTATTTATTTATTTATTATTTTGATCATATAACGTTATAGTCTTGTTTTATATTTATCGGTAGAGACTAGATAGGGATGGATCATATCAGTCAAAGATTACGACAACTTTTCTAATATGCTAATTCATGGCATATAAAAAACGCATCTTCTCAACGCCAAAGACTTTGTACGTAAAATGAATATTGCCATTTTTTTGGGTAGGAGCGATTTATTATTTTGCAAAGGAAACTGTTATTAGTATTTTAAAATTTTCATTATATACTCCTCATAAGTGTATTTTTTTTTTTTTAATTTTAGAAAATTTAGAATGTCATATGAGACTTTTAGAGTGCTAATAACAATTATCTTTTATAAATTACGATTTGACACATACGCAAAATTAACTCATAAAAAGTAAACACAAAAATAAATAAGTCTTTACACACATATTAAATTGTAAATTGTAAAAAACTTGAGTTAAGTCATGCAATAAATTTTTAAGAAAAAAAAAATCATACAATAATTAACTATTACTATAACCTAGATATCCAATTCGTCAAAATACAACTTAAAACCTCTCACTAGAACATGAAATATGAGTAACGTGAACAACTTTTAGAATCAGTGTGTTTGCTTGTGGATTAGGAGGACTAAGCTAAGCTTAGGGGACGGAATTAGGCAGCCCCAAACAAACATCATTGCTAATGGGGATTTTTAATTTTAAAAAAAAATGTATAATGGGTTAAACGCTTTCTTAAATTTATAAATAAATTAGACCATATAAAATAACATTGTGCATCTTCAATCTTTGCATGACATCCTCCCTGTTTTTCTATCTTGAACACTCACGTTTGTTTTCGGTTACTCGATAAGCAAGGAGATGAGTGCGTTTTTGTTCGCTACTTGAAGGAGCAATAATGTTCATTATTTTGCTCAATATATGAGATTAAATTTTGAGATTTGATATCAAAATTTAAAGGTGTGATTGACCCTGCATTTAGAAACGATGACCTAGTTCAACTTCTAGCTAACTTTTAATCTAGTAATATTATTTCAATATTAAAAATTGTCTAAAGTTCGAATCTTCTATCCCTACCGATTAAAAAAGAATGAAAGCAAAACAAAGATTTGTTATTCTTTGCAGTTGGTTTAGGATAATGTAGGTTAACTTAACTTGGCTTAACCGTTTTACATGGAGTTGTTTGAGGTCTAAATCAAAGGGAGGGGGATGGGGACATTGCTAACTAACACATGCCGATGCATGTCTAAATTACTTAATCATTCAACTTCATATAGTTTTAGTCTCATCATAGTCCCAATCACGTTAATTATTTCTCAAGGCAATCGGCTTATGACCCTAATAAAAGACAAATGAAGCACTCTTTTCATATATAAATGTCTCATGTATAAACGTACTCCAATGTCGTGTATGAGAAAAATGGCATAACTGGTACGTTACGCCGGGGTCAAATTCTATCCTCAATTCTGGAAAGTGACTATATATATCACTCTCCCACTCACACTCACACCATGCATATTATTCTTACAAAAAATAGTCATTCAAATCAGAAAATATATAAGTATTCAAATACATCAAACAAATTAATGATATAAGTACCTGTTAACGTTGTGTCTTATCAACGCCAATCAATTCCTCATCTAGTGCTTCCTAAGCACTAGATGGCAAGTTGGTCAATGACAGCTTTAAGACACAAGGTTCCACGAATATAAAGAGCAGGCTTATTCAGACGTCAACTCTGAACGACGTGGCAACTTGACGAGAGAACAGAGACCTACAAAGGGACGTAATGACTAACAGGTATGACGCTGGGTTATAAATTCTCATGAAATAACATAATAATGAATTGTCAATTTTCTTGAATTATTAGCTTGAGACGCTAACATTATACCCATTCATATATATATATATATATAATGATCTCTGCACATTATTGTATCTGCGAGCTAGCCGTGGAAAAAAGAGATGACACGGGGGACCAGGGGAAGTTGAAAAGGTGTGCATGCATATGATCACTGATTGGATGCCTTTAGGTCAAGCTCCAAGGTGGTGGAGGTGGTTCTTTATAATTTGTCTTTAGATCTAAGCCAAGCAACACCTAACATTTCTTATGTTTTTTATACACTTGCGACACGAAATATGTGAAGACTTCTAATGTTATCGTATCTGCCGTTTGATTATGGTCACTATTGTCCATTGGTGTAATAGTAGCATTGGACAATGCCAGGGCCAGTCGAGTGTGAATCATTTGTAAATATTGATGTATGACATTCACACTGTAAAATACAAAAATAATTTTAATCGTTAATAAATGTGAGTCTCGTATAGCATAATGTGCATCTTGGTGTTTGTGGGATGGAAAGGACAACTCCGAGAATGTGAACCTATCAATGGTTTTATGTGGTCAGCTATTGGCTTTAGTTTTGTTAGTCGAAGGCTTGGGTGGATTTTCTTACATTGTTGGCCATTTACTTTCTGGTGAAATGATAATCCCACACTTTTTCTTCCTTGCATTTTTACGTAATTTTGCTGATCGTTTTTGTTTTATTTATTCAATGACCTTAAATAAAGAAGAGCGTACGAGAGAAGAAAAAAAATGTGTAATTATTATTTCTTTTTACCATCTGCCTAGCAAATTAGCAATCAATCCACTCTACTACACTATCATACTTCATACCAAAAAGTAATAATGGCTCACTAATGATTAACGAGAATCTTTTAATAACTAACTAAGCACACACTAATAGTAATACTCCATACTCCATTGGATCAGGACAAAGATTCTCTCCTCTTTTTTTTCTCTTATTTTCTTTCCATCTGTTTGAGCGTTTAGGATTTCAAG